AATTTGACTTTTTATAAGTTTTGATATTTTACAATAAAAATAAATTAAATATTGAAAGGCAATTTCGTCTTTTTTAATATTTTAAGGATTTGTTTGGATCAAAATTATCACGGGAATGTCTTTATTTAAAAAATAATTAAATTATATATGACTGTTAATATATCAAACCTCAGGGGAGTGACATTATAATTAACTAAAAAAACAAAAAAAAAAAAAGGCCGTAAGTTTAGTAATTATAATTATAATTTTTCTCTCTCTAAAAAAACGCCATCTGTGGCTTACCTTCCTCGGCGGCTTGATACCTGTTTTCCTATGTGGAGTAACATTGCTGCAATAAAACCTCTTGTGTCCCACAAAGGAAGATTATTATAGGTAAGGATGGGGAACACGTAGCGACCCATGGAAGCTAGAATGATGAAATTATCTCTGTAAATATGGTAAAAACAGAAAATCAATGATTTTTTAGAGAGAGAAAGAATGGGTCTGGTTTTATTATTCTTATTTTTTTATTCTGTAATATTTTATAAATTCTAATCTACAATATATATATAATAAAAAAATAAGAATAATAAAACCAGACCCATTTTTATTCTGTAATATTTTATAAATTCTAATCTACATAAATTGTAAATTTTCTTCTTATTCATTATTTTCAAGGGATAGTTATTATACTTTATAAGTTGATTTGTTTGAGAGATTTTCCTTAAGATATAAGATTGTAATTCTTAGGAATTTTTTAATACTACTTAGTTATAGTTTAAGAAAAAATGACCATTGTTGATTAATTTCAGAATTTTGCCAACTGTTTATGAGTGTTTCAAAAGTATACACATCAATAGTTTGTAAATATAAAGTTGTCATATGAGTTGTTATTGAGATTGTCTATAGTCCTAAACACATCCCGGTATGTAGGCATGAGTTTAGAATCATCCAGAAATATGATATATTAAAGCAACAGAGTGAGTATATAAAGAACATTTTGGGATGAAACTTGTTTTCTTGATTTGCGCAGAGGATAAATTCAATGAATTATTATTTGTATTGGATGGCAATTTTGTTATCTAAAATTTATTTTTAAAATGTTTATAAAACATTTAAGTATTTTTGACCATATTATCCTCAAATGGTCACTTAAGATCAATTAAGTTTTAACATTGGTCACTATTCACCTTTTCTTGACTTTAAGATCACTATAGAGCAATTATGTTTAATTTTAGTTACCAAAATATAATTTCTGCATGATTAGGGTTTTTTGCTTCTGCATTTTCTTTTGAAGAAATTTCTCCTGCTCACTGATTTTGAAGAAATTTATTAATTATCATATACACACTTGAATATGTACATGTAAGGAAAATGTGTAATTGAGATTATGCTTCTGAATCAATTTCTTTGTCTTTGCAGCACTTGATATCTTTGATTGAGATGTCTTCGTTGATCTCAGATGTGGATTTGAATGGGGAAAAGGTAAAATCCGTGAGCCCTAATGTTGAATCTGATGTATATGAGGTTAAATAGAGTAATGGCAGTGTTTATTCAAACAATCTCATGAACCAAAAGCCGTCTAAAGCCTTTATAGGCTACAATCCGCAAGCAGATTTTGTTTACGAGATCTGTTGATTCCTGTTGAGATTGTGCCAATCAAAAAATGTTAATTAAGAGCATTGAGTTTTTCATATTGTTATTTGCATTTAATTTGAAAATTTTTTTTTGGGGTATTTGATGCTACTTAAGTGAGCATGATAACATTTAATGATTGAAAGTTCAAGCACGAGCTAAGATTAAGAAGCATAAAGAAATAGAGAATGAACTGAGGGTTCTCATATGATCAAGAAACTGGTATATGATAATGTGAATTGTGAGAACATTATACAAGCATGAAATTGCATTTCTGTTAAAAATTGAAACGCTTTCATGCGATGTTCTTCACACACCACGAAACCATTGCACTCCACAAAACGACATCCTTTTGTCTATCTGTTCAAATAGCTTGTAGACTATTGCCATATCCCATGTAGAATAAATGCCAAGAAGGGCTGTTGCAACTGATGTTTCTGACTCACACCCCATTTTTTAGATATGTTATAACATGCCTTCTTTATTTGAATTTTACTTTTTAACAACTCATCATGAATGTAATTACATATTGATGCTCTTATTTTATTCTAGCATAAGTTATCATGTATATTTTGAGTGAATCTAGTTTCTGAATACTTTTATGTGGGTCAATCTTAATGATGAAGGTTTACATTTTGAAAAAGACATGAAAAGGCCAAATGAGATGAGTAGTCTTGGAAATAAAAAGGTAAGCCCTAGAGACGTATTTTGTTTGTTCTTGTAGTGCTACATTGTGTATCAACATGTTTATGAAAAGGATGTATTTTTTTTTTTTAATAAGTAAAAATATATTAGAAAAACGTTCAAAAGGGAAACACATCCCTAATACACAAAAACGAAGAAATGAAGTATTTCTTATCCAATTTTTTTTTTTTTTTTTTTTTTTCTTCTTCTTCTTTCTATTAGAAAAATATCACACTTTGTTGGTGTATCACTTTGGTATGTATATTAAATACAATCTACAATCTTCAGTGGTGCTAAAGAAACTGCGTAGTATTTTTCTTTTAGGTGTGTTTTTTTTCCCTTTGGTTTATGGTTGTACTCCAAGTTTCACAATTTCTTGCAAATGATAAAACAAAAATTAGAAGCCCCACTGATTAGTTTAGCACCCTCATCGGCAGCAAAAATAACACACCTAAAAGCTATATTTCACACATGTAAAAGCAATATTCAATTGGCAATTTGGCATTCAAAAGAAGCTCAATTTCAAGATAAACTAGACTATGTTCTTTGCCTAAACAGGTCGAGCTAGCTTCTCTGCAGTAGAACTGATAGATTACCAATAGACTAACAGGATGCTTGTCCAGAAAATGGCTATTTCAATGGCACTTCTGCAAGTTACGGTAAGAGGTAAGCTGCCTTTCTATAGTTCACTCCTTTTATGCCCTCAAAATCAGTAAAAATACTGATGATTCTATTACTGAATCATTAGTATGTGTTACTAACCAGCATGTGAAATGCCCCTTGGCTATTTAAGTATTACTTGAATTGCAGTGAGATCCTTAGGTAGCTTATAGATTGACTGGTGCTGGGGAAGAAATTGTACTCACGTTGAGGATCTAATGAGAGAGTAATTCATATAATCCTGTAGACCAATGCGCAACCATGGACGGTACTGCAAAAACTGAAACAGGATGATATAGTTGTTCTGCTCATGACTGCAAGTAATTAATTAGAAAAATGAATATAGCAAGGTCCCTTTGGATTGAAAGTCAATCCTTGTCCTTGACCTCATTATGGGTTAAGTAAGGTTGTAAACAGATTTGAACTAGACCAAAACATGGTCAGAAATTGTTGGTCCGGGGAGTTTGAGAATACTAGAGTAAGCTTAAGCAAATTAGAAGTGAGAATCAATTTTAACCCACTTGAGGTTAAGCAGTACCTTGGAAGTCCCAAGTGTATGTAATTAGTGTTGGTAAAGGCACACCTAGGCTTGAGGCGCAGGTCTAGCGCATGTTGTCATCCTAGGTGCACTGATGTTTACTAGGCGCGCGCCTCATCCTATTTGTCAGGCGCGCCTTACTGATTTTTTTTTGTAAATAATTATTCTATTTCTTAAGCCAAAGAGGGTACTTTTGGTAACTTAATAAACAAATAAGAAAGCTAAAGTGTGCGAGAGAAGGAACTTTTGTTCACAAGAATAAACAAATAAGAAAGCTCAAGAGTCACAGTGTCAACCGAACAGAGAAAGAGTGAGACTGTGAGACGAATGAAGAAGCCCTAGTTGCAGAGATGAACGATGAAGCCACGTCAGTTCTTTCTTCTTCTCTCTCCTCTCTACTCCTCTCTTATCATCTTTGTTTACATCTCTCTCTTCGTCTAATTCTCTTGTCTCTTTTTTTTTTTTTTTTTGGGCTCTATTTTTTCTCCTTTTCTTCTTGAACACTTTCTTTCTCTTCTCGTCTACTTCTCTCTCTCTTCATCTACTTCTTTCTGGCTCTGTATTTTTTTGGCTCTGTTCTTTTCTTTTCTTATTAACAGTTTTTTTATTTTTATTTTTTATAACCGATTTATTTCTTTGTGCTTTGTTTTGCCTTTCGAAAAAACAAAATTTGTTTTGCCTTTCAAGAAAACAAATTTGTGCTCTGTTTTATAGTCGTTGGATTCTTGTACAGTTGATGGATTTACTTTTTTATATTTGACATTAATGTTTAGAATATTAATATGACTTATGAGATATGAATGTTTTTATGGTAGTTTAAATATTCAATTGTGTGCCTCACATCACTCGGGCGCGCCCCTAGGCTCCAAAGGACTTCTAGCACCTTGAACATTTAATAACACTGTATGTAACCGAAGCAATTTTAATTTGCTAGTTTTGACAGTCACGTAAATTTCTAAAGCAACCTACACAATTGTGTTCGGATATCTGGTGCAAATTGATTCATCATTTTCCTTGTAAACCAAATATTGCTCAAACTACTATTACTACAATCACCACTACTTGTACTGCTATTTCAATTTTCCATTCCGCGAATTACTCCATGGTTCCACTACAAGAAATAATGGATCTAGCGGCTTAGTTTAAGCCGCGGCTTAAAGCATTGTTCGAAGGCCATCGGGTATGGTCATCAATTGGCCAAATAGTGGACCCCCCACAAAAATTGTCTGTGGGTGTGTTATATGTGTCTAGCCTGGTAGCAATTGTGTGTAGCCCCACCCCATTTTCCTCTCTTTCTTTATCTTTTAAACAACGAGTCCCGTGTAATACCTCCTATCACCATACCGACTAAAAAGAATGGTTATATTATAAAGAGATACATCAGCCAAATGGGCTGATGTAGCTCTCAAAACAAGGACTAATGTGGCTCTCAAAAAAAGTACACACCGCCAGCCAAACAACATGCACCATACCGGATGCCCTAACTCCACTAAAGATGTAGGATAGACCACTCATTATCTCTCGGTTAGTCCATCTCGCTTAAAACATTTTTTGGCTCCACCCACCACGATTTCTCTCTCATTCTCACTCGACACACTCTCTAGATCGATTGATCCTACCTCTCTCAATATAAACTAGGGGTTCTAAACACATCCTGCTCTCTCTCTCTCTCTCTATTGATGGATCATACCTTCTTGATATGAGCCGATTTTGATTGAATTAGTCGATTCCAATGACTACCGAACTTCATCTGTCACTCTTATTGATTCCAATGGCATCCATGATCGAATCTGTCGCTACGTTGAAATTTCTTTATCACCAATCATCCATCCTTAACGAGTTTGCAGGTACGGTTGATTTTTTTTGGGGTAAACTACAATGACCTCCCCTAAAGTTTGGTCTAATTACAAATAAACCTGAGTTTTGTCATTTTTTTTTTTTTTTGCAAAGACCACTTGCGTCAAGATTTTGTAAAATATTGTTAAAAATGTTCAAAATATCTTGCATATTAAATGACCCTTTTATTTTTGTTTTGTTTTTTTGTTTTTTTTTTTTTTTTTTTACTTTTTCTCAACATTCCCCCTTTTTTTTCTCCCTCTTTCACTCTCCTCTCCACCTCGTATCACCATCGCCACCAAGCACCTTCTCTCACTCTCCTCGCCACGAAGCACCACGATCGCCACCAAGCACCACCATTCCCACCTCACAACCACCAGCGGCGCCACCGCCGCCAACCAACACCTGCAGAAACGCCTTGACAACCTCCTTCTACCCCTTCCATCTCCTAATTTCCAACCTTCTTCTCCACTGAGGTCAGATAACCATCGGGCTCTGCTGATTGAATCCACAACCTCTTACGAATCGACGCCGATGACAACTGTCGGGAAGGAGACTGAAATCCTAATCAAGCGTCGGTGTGGTCGGAATGTGCAGACACGGTCGGAATCCTAATCAAATGTGGGTTGATCGAATCCACAACCTTGCCAAACAGCAGAGCCAATGCTGATGTCGATACCGGAGCCAAATTCACTCTCTTCTTGGATGTCTCAACACTTGTTTATTGAATCCACAACCTCTATATATGATGATTGAGGACGGTTGAGGGGTGATATTTTTTTTTTCTTTTCAGAAAAGGCTCTACTATAAGTTGTCAAATTAATTTGGTATTTTTGTTTACTGGTCCAATTTTTGACGTTCTTGTGGCTTTTTCTCCAGAAGCTACACCAGTTTTTTGTTTGTCACTTTGTCTTAAAGTGAACCAAGCAATCGATCCCCTGAAAATGTCAAAATAATAATGTGTTGGTAGAAGATTGGAGGTAACCCCTAAAAGTTCGGCTACGGCTCCCACCGTGTACCTGTTTGTCCCTCTTTGATCCTAATCGCTTCCAGTTCTGTGATTCTGATGATAAATTTGATGATGATGATTATGGGCGTGGGGATGGTGGTGGTGGTGCCACCAATTTGATGATTATGGTTTCGGCTCCCTCACAGTAGTGGTGGTCCTGGTTATGGGGAGTGAGTGGCGGCGGCGGTCGCGGTCGCGCCACTAGTATATGTATATATGGGCAAAAAAATGCATATATACAATCATTACACGATCGTAAGTTACATGCTCTCCAAATCAGGTTTTTCTTGGGATTACAGTAGAGGATCAATACTTGCTAGTGAAGAATCAGTTTGGAATGCTTGGGTAAAGGTGAGAACTACTTGCCAATTGTATAACATGTTTATAGTTCGTGATTTCTGCCTATCAGCATTTGTCCTGTTTATATTGAATCTGTGTTGTCATGCTGCACACCTACACTGGCATATTTTAATGCGTGAAGCTTCCTTTTGAACATTAAGATAGTGAAAACCCTTGAAATGTTCTTTCTATTTTTTCCAGTGTTGTATTGCATTTCAGCTAGGAATGTTTGAAGTATTATATACTCCATTGTAATCTTTGTAGGCCCTTGGGTTGGTCAAGTGTAGTCACAGAGAAGAAGATAACATTTTCCATTTAGCAACTAGATTATGTATGAAGTAGGATAGAGAGAGCTACATGAAATGAACTTAACTATGCTTATTTTGTATGCAAATTTACTATTTCTTTCTTTTTTTGCTTAAAAGAATAAGGCAAAAAGAACTTTCCAGTTTGTAATGATTACATTTCAGTTTGAGGAGTTTTGTGATTTTTTATTTTTTATTTTTTATTTTTTATGAGAGAGACTTGGAGAGAGATGGTTTCATGAGTCATGACATGCCTCTTTTTTGGCAGAATACTTTTACTGAATGCCTTTTGGTTTCTTCGATTTTGTGCTAATGTATATCAGGAATGAGTATTTTGCAGGTTGCATGTGACAGGTAAGGGTTTTGTACCGTTAGAGAACTGATGCAACTTTTGGGTTTCTCTAGGCCTTCAAAGTATTTTCATTTTTTTACTGAGAAGACGTGCTAATTTTAGCCCAAATTTTTTTCTACTGAAGTATCCCTGAATCAAATATTGTGACATTTTTTATTGAGCATAATAGATTTGCTAGGATTTTTTATATAATGCTAAATCTTTATTAGAGCTGATTTCTATTATGGAGTGCTGTTTCCAGCAACCTCTCTCTCTCTCTATATATCCTTGTGTCCTTTTTGAAAAAAATAAAGATAATGAAAATTTCGAAAGTGTTGGCAGTATTTCTGATTGCGTTGAAACTCTGGTCTTGTGCATTTGTAGGAACATCCTGAACTGGAGGAAAATTTCACTGAAAAACTGAGATGACATATGTACTTTCTTTACACAAGACCGTGCAATTGGAGAGGGTGCTCAAACCGCTTTGGAAGCCGACATGCAAATGGTTAATGAAGAATCATCCGGAAATGTAAAAACTGAGATGACATTTGTACTCTGATTGTCAAGTAGCATGTTATTTTCCTTTTCCGGACAGAATAACTTTATTTTCATGTAAACAGTATCATGATATATATTTTTAGTTCTCTTTTAGATTCATTTTCATAAATGGGTATTACAATTAATTTTAATTTTAATTTTTATGAAGATTTCTTCATATTTTAAATTTGTAATGTCCATTTTTGTTTTTGTGTAGTGAGTTGTTACCATCATCATCATCATTCCTCTCACCCCTAGTTAGAATAATTCAGAAAAAACCCGGTAAATCCCAATTCACCCCTACTTAGAATAATTATGAAAAATCCCAATTCAATCCTAATTCTTCTCAACCAAGACCATTTTGTAGGTAATACTCGAGATAGGATTCAACATTAACGGCAACAATTTATTTATTCTAAAATCCTTATCAGGTCCTGCCCATACATTTGCTAACGAGGACAGGCACCTGCAGACAATAGAAAATGCAAATGGTATGTGAGCTTATGCTTGAACGGCCTGTCGTAGAACTAACATTTAGTTCAGCAAGGTCCAAAACTTTAGGAATATTGCTCACAAGAACTATTTAATAATGTCAGTATATAATAAAGTTGAAGCAGTGTCTATGGAACCAAACTTTAGTTGTCAGTGTCATACATAACTTACCGGGCTCTCAGTGGCAATTGATTTGAGAGAAAATGGTCTGGAAGCAATAGGAATGTAATTGTATACCTATATCTATCAAAGGACCAAACTGTGCCTTCTCATTCACATTATCACTATCCACGTGCAAAATCTGCTCTGCAATATTCAGTTAGCAAACAATGGGTTTGATACTCAATTGGAAGCTAATTTGTGCAACTTTGCTAATTTTTGGGATGGGGATTTCTGAAGTCACATCCCGCACTCTCAATGAAGCATCTATGACTGACAGACATCAGCAATGGATGGCTCGTTATGGAAGAGTTTACAAGGATAATGTAGATAAAGAAATGCAATTTAAGATATTCAAGGACAATATGGAGTTTACAAGGACAATGTAGATAAAGAAACGCGATTTAAGATATTCAAGGACAATGTGGAGTTCATTGAGTCGTTCAACAATGCTGGTGCTAAGCCTTACAAGCTAGGCATCAATGAATTTGATGACCTAACAAAAAATGAGTTTCAGGCTTCTCATAATGGTTACAAGATGTCCTCCAATCTGAAATCATCTAAAACGACGTTGTTTAAGTATGAAAACGTGACTGCCGTTCCATCTAGCATGGATTGGAGAAAGAAAGGAGCCGTTACTCCTATTAAGGATCAGGGTCAATGTGGTAAGGCACAACATCTTCTTTTTGCTAATCCAAAACTACATTTTTAGATATGCAATTACCTTCTTATTTCCTTTTGACCAACTTAAAACACATGTTATATAACATAACCTGTTAAAAAAAATCCAGGATGTTGCTGGGCATTTTCAGCAGTGGCAGCCATGGAAGAGATTAATCAGCTCACAACTGGTAAATTGATCTCATTATCTGAGCAAGAAATTGTGGACTGCGACACAAGTGGTGAAAATCTAAACTGTTGGGGTGGCCTCCTGGATGACGCCTTTGAATTCATAATACACAACCATGGCCTCACTACTGAAGCCAATTATCCATATGAAGGAGTTGGTGCAACTTGTAAAACTAAGAAGGCAGCCTCCTCCGCAACATATATTACCGGTTATGAACACGTGCCTGCCAATAGTGAGGCGGCATTGTTGAAAGCTGTGGCCAACCAGCCCGTATCTGTTGCCATTGATGCTAGTGGATCTGCCTTCCAATTCTACTCAAGCGGTGTTTTTACTGGAGATTGTGGGACTAAATTAGACCATTTTGTTACGGCAGTTGGGTATGGGACAAGCGATGATGGTATCAAGTATTGGTTAGTCAAGAATTCTTGGGGAACTAGCTGGGGCGATAGTGGATATATTATGATGGAAAGAGACATTGATGCTAAGGACGGCATATGTGGCATTGCCATTGAAGCTTTCATATCCAACTGCTTAGATAGCAAAATAGTGAATGGATCCTAGTAGGTTCACATTGCTTATTATCTGTATATGTGTTGTACTACTCGCTCTTGATCTTATATACAATTTTCAATACTGAAGAAACTGCATAGTGTTTTTTCCTTATGTTCCATTGTCATGGCAGGGTTGTGCAATCACAGGCTATTGAGAAGAAAACAGAAGATAATTGCAATTCCCCGAGCTTCCACACCTCTTTCAGAAGAGGAATACTTTTTGTTGGGCGAAACAAATTTCATTTCAATATTAAATAACTTGCATACAATATGAAAGCACACTCTCACTCACTTCATTTCGTAATCTGTCCTCTAAACCGGTAGTTACTAAAGAAATGGTCTGAAATTGTTCGAAAACCCCATGAAATGGCTTTCTTCACAGGGTATCGGAAAGTTGAAGCTTCAGCCACTGATGCATCCTTAACATGCCTATCATCTAGGCCACAAGTAAAATATCATATGGATTGTTGATAAAATTTGGGAACAAGTAAAATATCATATGGATAAAGATGTTAGGCAAGAGAAAATGTCACATGAAGGAGATTTCAGTAAGAAAAAGGCAGTTTACTATGTTTACCTTATCATGATATTATTCATATTTTGCAAAGATATTAATAATTAAATTGTGAAGAGACAGCATTACTGAGATGGTTTCCAGCATCCAAAGGGTTATTCTATGGGGGGAGAAAGGAAGACGATTGCAAATAATTTTATTTAAGAGATGACACTAAGATATTTACACTGAGAAATAACAATATAATATATACAAAAAAAAAAAAAAAAACACACACACACACACTAAAGAAGAAGCTGTCAATGACCAAATTAACTCTAGCTACTTAAAAAGGCTTTGAGAACACAATATGGGGTGGGTTCCTTGGAGTTGGGATACGTAAGTTTAAAATTTGAACTAATTTCAATTCTAGTTCTGAGAAAAAGTTCCATATTTCTAAGCACCGTAAATGCAATTCAAAGACCATTTAACCGATAATACTAAAGACTGTTTTCAACTTTAACACTGCACACTGTAATTTTTAAAATATGGGTCCAAATTCTTCACAAAGGACACATTTATTTATTTTTCATCATTTTAATATATAAGGTCCATTTCAGCTACACTCAAATGAATCAAAATGAATTATCATATAAAGAGTCATTCCCTTACATTTGCCACTGAGGACAGGCACTGCAGACACACAGAAAAATCCAAATGGCACATTCTTATGCTTGACCAGCCAATAGAAGAAATAACATTTAGTTCAGCAAGGTCCAAAACTGTAGGAAGATTGCTCACCAGAACAGCACAAATGACAAAGTAAATAATGAAGTTGAAGCAGCGTCTACGGAACCAAGCTTTAGTTGTCAGTGTCATACATAACTTACCGGGCTCTCTCAGGAACTTGATCCCTAGCAACAAGATTCAAATCATTGTGGGAACTCAATTTGAGAGAAGATGGCAAGAAGCAATTGGAATATAGTTCTATATATACCTATATCTATCCAAGGACCAAAGTGTGCCTAATCATTCACATTATCACTATCCATTAGCAAAATCTTCTCTGCAATATTCAGTTAGCAAACAATGGGTTTTATACTCAATTGGAAGCTAATTTGTGCAACTTTGCTAATTTTTGGGATTGGATTTTATGAAGTCACATCCCGCACCCTGAATGAAGTATCCATGATTGACAAACATGAGCAATGGATGGCTCGTTATGGAAGAGTTTACAAGGACAATGTAGAGAAAGAAATGCGATTTAAGATATTCAAAGACAATATGGAGTTCATCGATTCTTTCAACAATGCAGGTACTAGGTCTTACAAGCTAGGCATCAATGAATTTGCTGACTTAACCAACGTGGAGTTTCAGGCTTCTCGTAATGGTTACAAGATGTCCTCCAATCTCAAGTCATCTAAAACAACTTCCTTTAGATATGAAAATGTGACTGTAGTTCCATCTAGCATGGATTGGAGAAAGAAAGGAGCCGTTACTCCCATTAAGGATCAGGGTCAATGTGGTAAGGCACAACATGCACCTTAATTCCTTTTTTTAATCTACAGCTACATTTTCGTATATGAAAACATATGTTATAACACAACCTGGCCATAAAAAATTTGCAGGATGTTGCTGGGCATTTTCAGCAGTGGCAGCCATGGAAGGAATTAACCAGCTCACAACTGGTAAATTAATCTCATTATCTGAGCAAGAACTTGTGGATTGTGACACAAATGGTGTTGATCAAGGCTGTGGGGGTGGCCTCATGGATGATGCCTTTGAATTCATAATAGGCAACCATGGCCTCGCCACTGAAGCCAATTACCCATATGAAGGAGTTGATGCAACTTGTAAAACTAAGAAAGCACCTGCAGCAAAGATCACCGGTTATGAAGATGTGCCTGCCAAAAGTGAGACGGCATTGTTGAATGCTGTGGCCAACCAACCCGTATCTGTTGCCATTGATGCTAGTGGATCTGACTTCCAATTCTACTCAAGTGGCATTTTTACCGGAGCTTGTGGGACTGAATTAGACCACGGTGTTACAGCAGTTGGATATGGGGCAAGTGATGATGGTACCAAGTATTGGTTAGTGAAGAATTCTTGGGGCACTAGCTGGGGTGATAGTGGATATATTATGATGGAAAGAGGCATTGCTGCTAAGGAAGGCATTTGTGGCATTGCCATGGAATCTTCCTATCCAACTGCTTAAATAGCAAAATATTGGGTGGATCCTCAATCATCTTGAGTTCTCTTAGGACCTCAGTGGTTTCACCTTACTTATTATCTCTGTGGTGTATTACTCGTTCTAGATCTTTTATTGAGTATTGTATTGCAGTTGGTATGTATATTAAAAACAATCTTTAGTGATGAAGAAACTGCATAGTGTTTCTTCTCTTCTGTTATAGTCATACTCCATGTCTCACAATTTCTTGCAAATATTTAAAACAAAAATTTGAAGCCCCACTGATTTGATCAGCACCCTAATACGCAACAAAAATAAAACCCCTAAAAGCAATATTGCATTCAAAAGAATCTCAATTTCAAGATAAACTAGACTGTTATTTCCCTG